ATGTTATGGAATCATCCCCTCTTAGGCTTTTTGCAAGGATTACATGTTTTGAACAAAGTAGGGTTTAATACCCATGAAATCTCCTTTCTAGTTTTATAACCCTAATTTTTGGAGAGTGATGTATTTCCTTCCTAAATGCTTTCTTTATTATGGATTTCGAAACCTTAGTGCTTTGTGTTAGGTAGAAAAATGATGTTATTGTGATCTCATGTATTTTTTTAGTTCGTTGTGGAATTGTTATATGATATATTTTGGGGATTTTGGATAAATGCTTGTAAATTGAGATAAATGTTGGAAATGTATGCTTGGTTGGGTTGTTTGTGATGCACATGAATGAGAGGTTCCTTGTAAGGATGCTCACCCCTTCCCAAGAAGTTCCCGGTAAGGATGCTTAGAAAATAATGTAGTGATTGGTGAGAGGTTCCATGTAAGGATGCTCATCCATTTTCAAGAGGTTCCCGGTAAGGATGCTTGAGAATCAAAGGTGACCTAAAGAGGGGTGGAGGTTACCATAAAATATGCCACCTATCGAAAGAATTGTTGAAAATTGGTTATGACAATTAATGATTATTATTTGTATGTGGTGCTCGTTTATTCATTTAAGTAATATTTTTAAATAAACTTGAGATCCTTTTTAAATGTCACTGCTTTATTTCAAATTATGTATCTATGTTATGTTAAAATTGAGACCGACCGTTTTAAATGCTTTTCTAAACCTTGTTTGGGTTTGAGAGAATTTTTCTACAGAGCTTCGTGCTCACCCCCTATCGCTAACATTTTTCAGATTATCAGCTTGAGGAAGAGGACGTAAGGGTCGAGGAGCCCGCTACTTGGGAGACTCCACTGGACGGGAGTGTGGATCCCGAGGTGGACGCATAGAGCGACCTCCTTTCCTTTTGTACTAGACTAGGACATTCTTTTGGAACATTGTGTAGTCTAGCTTCTTTTGTTTATTCCGCTGCACTTCTTTAATTAATTTTTGAGATGTAATAGCCATGACTTGGGCTTATTCTTGTGGATAATGTTATAAATATTCGTGGATGAAAAATGAAGTCTTGTTTCTTAAGGGATTATATTAGTGCTCTCATGATATAAATGGTTTTAGAATGTAATGTCGTCTAGGGTGTGTTTTGGGGCGTTACATGCTTACTTTTTGTGCATGATTTAGCTAGTGGATTTGCATTAATACCTTCTCGTTATACTTTGATTCTATGTCATGCTTGTTATATATTGTCATTTATAGTAAATAAGGAAATGATATGTTGGGTAACTTGATTTTGTACCGTGCTTGTTGCATGTTGTCATTGGATTGACATTTGTGACAAAAAGGGGGAGAATATTTTAGGTACATACGATTTGAATCGAGGAGATTTACTCTTGACTAGGCTAGATATGTTGCACGTGAAAATAAAAAGGGGGAGTTTGTTCAAATACTCAAGGGGACTACATTTACAAATTTGGCATGAAGTCACCAATTTAACATTTGTTTATGGTATGCTTGTTATTTTACTTGTGAACACCAAAGGAGAGAACTTGAAGTGTTTCATATTGATTGATCAATATGTTCTCAAGCATATTGGGTAAAATGTTACATATTTGCACTTGCATGATGTATACATATATACCCTATGCTTAACTTGGTGATTTTTAAACTTGTGATTATGTTATGTATTGCTCTAAAATATGATACTTTTCATCAGTTTTTGATTTGAGTGGAGATGTGCAGAACTACGATCTTCAAAATTACATTCAAAGACTAGATCTTGATTTGAGTGGTGAGTGGTTTTTGAGTTGTAATCTTTAAATTTTTACTTGTGTATTTTGTCACAAAATGGCTAAAGCCGAAGATTGTTAGATCATGTATTTGTAATTGGATAATTTCATGAAGTCTATGTAAATCTTAACCAAATGCCATGGTCATCAAGCTTCAAAGACCAAGATCTGTAAGTGACAAAGGAAGGAAAGGAGATCAAGCTACAATGCTACATAAAGACTACTCTGATGCACCTTCAAACGTAGGACAAATGCAATGACCTTAGAGGCAATGACCTTAGAGACCTAGATCCCTTGGTTTAATTTTGGACTTAGGATGATTAAAATGAAAAAAAATGGAATTTGGAATATCCAAAAAATGACACATAGGTTTTTCGTTGAAATTTTTTTCTAAACCTTAAATGTGTTTTGAAAAAGATTGTTTGAGTCATTTATCGAACCCTATTTCAATAACACACTTTAGTGTTTAATAGGTCAAGTTTTGGCTTGATTTCTAGCTTAAAAATCCGTAGGAATCGTTTTATATTCGCTACTCTTCGCTAGAGCAGTTTTTGAGACACATAGGGAGACAAAACTTGAGAAACCAGTGGAGACTGATCTATGACCACTCTACAACCGCTTGAGCGGTCTGGAGATTGATCTGCCACCTGGAGGTCTATAATGACTTACCTTTCACTCTAGAAATCACCACCCTCTGATCGCTCTCCCATGAATTGACCAATTGACGTGAATCTAAATTGTCTTGGTCCCCAAGACAAACCTTATTTTTTTCTCATACATATGGGGCTATGTATTAAACATAGGGTAAGCTTCAATGAGTTAAAATAGACAAAAAATCCTTCTAGAGTGCTTTAAGAACAACCTTAGATATCCCTAAAATCAAAGGCCAAACATCTTGATTCTTTCATTGAAGAAGAAGATCTTGATTGGTGTCTACCAAAACCTACTTGGAGAAGTGTGTCTATCGAGGTCTTAGTTGTGAAGTCTTGAAGATTACTCGCGGCCTAAACTAATCATGCGGCGGGGAGTTCAAGTGAAGCTAGCCATAACATCAAAGGAGGGCCTTTGACGAAGATATCTACAAAGGAAATGAGCATCTTACCATGTGGATTAGTTGAGCTATAAGACTTAAGTCCTTGTAGATTGACTTTGGGTTTAGTGGATTAGGCTTTAGTGAACCGAGAAATTTCCCCTGATTTTTCCCAAGAAGGGTTTCCACGATAACAAATTACATTCATTCTTTATTGTTTTAATTTGCTTGTACACTTGCATTGTTGGATACATGCCCCCACGTGTCTAATGAATTGATGGTTTATCTTTCAAGCCATTAATAGTGGTTTCCAAGATTATGGCTTTGGTTGGGATCAAAAAGATATTGTGGGCTAGTTGGTGTTGATTGCATATTCATTTTCATTAATTCATTCACACTCTTGATAGGTTGTTAATGTTAAAAGGGGTTCTCACTTGAATTGACATATCCTTATGAGAAGAGGTAATGTTGGTAGAGTTAGGTTAAAATTGGAGGTCATCCGAGCTTAATTTTAAATTAACCTTTTCACCTCCATCTTTTTCTAACGTGCGATTCTTCATGAATAATCGAGTGGAAAAAACCTACACGTGAAGTGTTGTATTTTTCCCACATACATGATACTCTAGATATATATTATTCATCCCTTGGATATTTGATGAAGCAATTCTTCTTCTGTCTTTTCCTCCACTAATGGATGACTGTTTCGGGTAAACTGAACTTATTTGATAATGGCCGAGTTGGTTCATGACTTGACTGATCTGGCTCCTTGTGCAATAGGTCAGTTAGTCTGATCTTCAAGTTGACTAGTTTCTTTATTGTGCAGTAAGCTAGTTTTTCGCGTGGATCTGATCTTGGTATCATGAAATAACTTAAAAATCTGTTTTCGATACCGCACAATTACCCAAATTCTAACCTCCATCAGATAAACAATCAATAGAAGAAATGTGGCTTGATTTTTTTCAAATTATGAAAGAATTTAAGGACATAAATTAAAAATCTAATAATTGTGGTTATTAAATTATCTATGGATCTCACTAGTGAATATACTCAACATCAATTCTCATGATTACATTGTGTTGCTCCAAAATCTGCACATGTTAAATTTTCAAAGTATATCCTTAAATTATGTTCAAATAACTTTTATGATGACAAAACTATAATCCACCAACAAGAATTTGACAAACTCTGGGTTTGGCTTCAGGGCATGTTAGGATTGTAGGGTTGGAGTGGATTAAATATCTAAAAAAATATCATTTTCTATTCAACTTAAACCCACCTTGAGTTGGAGGCGATTGGATATAAATAGGTATCTCCAATCCTTTCCACGGTTTGAAAAGCTCATAACACTTAGTAGGATCCATGGATAAGAGTGATGTAATATGTTATAATTGACTATTATGCCCATGTCCTATCCAATCTACCACAATATTTGATTTATAAATTAGCCTTCATTCTATTCCAATCAAAAAAAAAAACACTTTTATATCAATTATTTTTACAACTCATTAAAATATAAAATAATCATTTTTGAATATATTGTAACCATAAACACTATATAGTAATAGGCGAAATATGGGTGTTTATGTGTTAGTATCACAAAATGAAATGTAAAGTGAAAATAATGTGTATTACCCATTTTCTAAACTTTAAAATGAATGTGTACATATATGTGTGGCAGGAGTTTTAAAATGCATGCACAATTAAAATGCACAATGGACAACAGATCTAATAAAATCAAAACAAAGACCAATAACGATAGCTCATAAAACCACAGTAGATCTGTGCATTAACAAAGGTGTGTCAATAATCAATAGATCTGCGAAATCGCTATTAGTTGGTGGCTACTAGTTGGTGGATGGCAGTAAAGTACAAAACCTAAAAATCATATTTTTATATAAAATTATAAAAATTCGATTTTTATGACTGGACTCAGCAAATTGGCTTCGGAAAAATGAACTCAGCTAATTGGCTTTGGGCAAATATATAATTTTTCCCACTTATCCGGTCTATGTAAAAAATATCCCAACCTACTTTTCCCAAAAAAAAAAAAACAATCTCTACCCCTTTTGGGTTTCATAACCCACGTAGGCCGGTGAAATTTGATTTTTTAAATTGGGTCGAGATAAATTCCAATAAAATTTTCAATACACTTTTTGACTTATCAAATGCGAAATAAATGGATCTCACATAATTTTTTTCTCCTTTCCTATTAGTATTATTCCTCTTTTAACTTGTGATCCAAACATACTATTTGATTATGTACTGACAGAAACATCCTCTTACCCTAAGGATACGGATGCCCACCCAATGTTTTCTAAATTACAAGTTTGCCATCCACTTTCGCTTTCAGTTTATAGATGAAAACGGAACAGAGGTTAAAAGTTAGGACTTCCTCCTGGCGCATGTTAGCCGCAATCCCGAGCTACTGGAATCTACCCCAACTCGGCCGGATCTGACTACCTTGGCCGGTAATGTCAAGAAAACACCCAATCTTCTTCCTCGTGACAATAATATGCGTCCCTCTTGCTTCCTCTCTCCGATCACTCTCCTCCGGACCATGTGACCGTACCGTTCCACCGGACCCGTTGACCCTCCGAACAGACCAAATGACGGTCCTGATCAACGGCTACTCCGAGTCCCGAATTCCCATCCTCCGCTCGATCGCTGCCACGTATTCCGCATCCTCATCAGTGTCATCCGTCCTCGTCCTATGGGGAAACCCCACCACCCCTCCCCAAACCCTAACCCAACTCTCCCACGACCTTGCTGTCTCCTCAGCCAGCGCACCAATCTCTATAATCTTACAATCCTCCTCAAGTCTCAATTCCCGTTTCCTCCCCAGAGAATTAATTAATACCCGCGCTGTCCTCATCTGCGACGATGACGTTGAAGTCGACCTAAAATCAGTCGAATTCGCATTCAGACTGTGGAGATTAGATCCAGACCATTTAGTGGGGATTTTCGCTAGGTCACACGATTTTGATTTGTCGAAGAAGACTTGGATTTACACGGTTCATCCGGAGAAGTACTCGATATTGCTGACGAAGTTCATGATCATAAAACATGAGTATTTGTACAAGTATAGCTGTGAAGGCGGGGAAGAACTGGCAGAGATGAGAAAGGTGGTGGATAGAATGGAGAATTGCGAGGATATTCTGATGAATTACCTGGTTTCCGATACCATTCAAGCTGGGCCGATATTGGTCGGAATGGAGAGGGTGAGGGATTGGGGGGATGCCAGGAATGAGGAGACAAGAGGGTTAGTAGAAGAAGAGAGGAAGAGAGTGAGACAAGTGGGGTTGAGTAGTAGAAAAGGGGATCACAGGAAGACGAGAGGTGAGTGTATACGGGAATTTCATAGGATATTGGGGAGAATGCCTTTGAGATATAGTTATGGGAAGGTAGTTAATTCAGCTGGTGAACAAGGGTTATGTGACAAAGGTGGGAGGTTGGTGTTTTGTGATCAGCAGATTTTCAAATAATTTTCCAACTTTTACTGTAGTGATGTAAATTGTATCACAGAATTTTCCCGTTTGCTTGATCCTCCACCTTTTACTGCATAAGAGCATTTTCAAATTTGAATTACAAATTTTTACTTAAATTTGAATTAATATTTGATTTGATTCAAAACATTCTAATGCATAAATTCAAATTTAGAATAGAATAAACTCAAATTTCAACAAAGGTAAATTCAAATTTTAAATATGACAGAATATGATCATTAGATTTTTAAAGAATTATAAAATATAGTTGTAAGATGCAAAAACTTAATAATACAAGAATAATGAATGGATGTCTTTGATACTGAGTGAATTCAAAACTTAGGATTTTCAATCTCCTTCCTGTAAAACGAGCAAACTGTCTAAAATTGAAGTATTTCGATTGAAGACACTCTGATGTTTAAGTCAGTAACGGGATTGAAACGAACGGAAGAAGACAAGCAAAGTTCTGCGTATCTTTCACCTTGGTTTCTTCTGATATTTTCGATCTTGTTCATTCAAAATGCCTATGTTGAAGACTTCTCTTTAGCTTTCTATCTTTTGTTTTAAACAGCTCGGTCATAGTGAAAGCCAAGCACTTGTCGAACACATTGATCAACTCGGTTTGGTAAAAACCGAGCTCATCCATTGCTTTGCTGAACAATATTGGTTAGTTTGGCTAGGATCATTTGACCGAATAATTGATATCTCCATCACGTGCCTTGTCTTGTCAACCTCATATGAGCTCATTAAATGTCATAACGTGTAATAATGGGGGTTAGCCCCTTCAATAATAATTGATGATTTGAGTAAAAGTTTGAGTTTTTTTTTTTTGTTTGGAATGAGTCTTTCTTGATTTGAGTAACAATTGAGTCTTTTTTGATTTGGTATAAGTTTGGATATAATATTGGAGAAAAATTTTAGGGAAATTTACCCAAATTATTCTTTATTTTGACAACATAACTAAGAGGTAGAAATAATTGTAAATATAACATTATTTCTCTTGTAATCAAAGATTAGCCAACATTATTTTATGGTATATTCTCTGTTAACTTGTTCTATGAATTAAAATTTATCAATTCGATTCTTATACGGCAATCAATATCATGGTTAGATACTTGTTTCTTTTAATGGATCTCTCATCCAGATATACTTGGTTGCACAGTTCGTTTAGGCTTCGAGTACTCTTAAGATGCACCCCAAAATCTTGGTATGCACACTCTTCAAGTGGGGTTGGTAAAATCATGCAAGTTCTTTTTCTCCAATGTTTGAGGTTGGATACGAATCATAAGATGGGTTTAACCTTTGGATTTAGGGATCTAAATTTGCTCACATGTTCTCAATGTTTTAGATATGCAAAATTTACACTCAAGGGGCTTACCCTAGCATAGGAAAGATACCTTTTATTTATAGATTTAGAATAGGGTTTGTCTTTAAGAACCAAGAAAATACAAATTCGCGAACGACTGCTCGAACAATGAGAGGGCAGTGGCTGTTGGAATAAAAAAAGAATGCAAACTATAGTAGTAAAGTAGTGATTGCTCGAGCGATATCAGGACCGCTCAAGTAATCTCAAGACCACTCGAACGGCCAGAGAATGACCTAGAGGGTTGTCTTCACTACCCACTCATTTAGTCATTTTCAATTTTATCCCTAAGTGTTTAGAGACCGCTCTAGCGAAGACTAGCAAACAAAAGGTTGTCCCTACTAGTTTTTAAAGCTAAGATCAAGCAAAAAAGTTGTCTTTTTTAGCAATAAAGGGTGTTATGCTTGCATTGGTTTCCAAAGATGTTTTTCTCTAAAAAATGATTTTTTTTATAGAATGATTCAACTATTTCTCTCAAAATATTCTTGCACCCTTGAAGTATATAAATTTTGTTTCCTAAGCGTAGGAAGCTTGTACAATGTAGTAACTTAAAAAATCCAAAGTCGTCTCCTGTAACGCCCCCAAAGCCACCTTGGACGACATCACAAGCTAAACTATTCACAGCATGAGAGCAGCTAAATAATTCCATCATTAAAGAATATTTCATTCATCAAATATATCATTTACAATATCATCCCAAAAGAATAGGCCAACCATGACCACTATATCCAAAAGAATATGCCAGACTATGACAATTATATCCCAAAAGAATCAAATTTAACATGCAACAGAATTACAAAAGGATTGACTTTACATTAGCTCAAAGTAAATATCCCAGTCTAGAACAAAAGAGAATATAACTTTAGACGTCCTCTTCGGGATCCACGAGCTCGTCTAGTGGAGCTTCCCAATGTGTCGGCTCTTCTACCCCGAGCTCTTCCTCTACACCACAATCTGAAAAATATAGTTTGTAGGGGGTGAGCACTAAGCCCTGTAGCAACATTCCTCCCAAACTCGAACAAGGATTAAAAAAACATATAAAAACGGTCGGTCACCTTTCAAAAATAGCATATATGAATTTTGAAAGAAAACGTGATATTTTCAAAACATAACGCTATAGACAATAACCGCCATGTATCTCAAGTCTGATGTAAGATAATCTCATGAATAACACATAAAGGATATTCTAGCCCACACACACACAAATTCTTGCAAAGGATATCAAACTTCGAGAAGGGCGCTTACCGATGCATTGTCTCATACCAATGCACCGGCAATAATAAGTCCGACCCAAGCATAGTATACTAATCCTCTGACACGGCACCCGTGAGCTAATAGTGGTTTGGTCCTCGCAAGGTACTAACCCCACTACGAATGGTAGGAAAAGTTTAAACCCTCCTGGAGTAAGAACCACCACATCTAACCACTCTACAATACCCGGTCAACGGCCACCTATGGTCATCCAAACACCTCCATGAGATACAATCACCAACAATTTTCTCAAATAATAAAAATTCCATAAATCTCCAATTTCACATGTAGAATTTCAATAGAACAATTGAAAAAAAATAAGCAAGAGATCATCATCAATATCATTTTAGTACCTAACACAAGGCATTAAAATTTCAAAGTAAAAAACAAAGGAAGAATCAAGAATAAAGTCCATCTATTTTGGAAACTAGGGTTTTATATCAATAAAATGAGATTTCATGGGTATTCAACCCTAACTTTGTTTAAAACACGCTATTAATTGCCAAAAACCAAGGAAGGATGATTTTATAGCATATATATAAGATTTAAAGTCAAAAAAATACATATAATTAAGCCCTAGACTCAATGAACAAGAATGGAAGAAAACCCCCTACCTTGATGTTCTTGGAGAAACTAGGTTTGATCTTTAATCCCCTTTAGAACTCTTGTTCTCCCCTTCTTTTTTTCTCTCTAAGTCTTTCTATTAGGGTTCTAAGATGTGTGGAGTGAGAGTGGTGTAAAAGAATGAGAGTAAATGTAGTGAAAATGGGGTTTTAAAAGCAGAAAATCCCAACTTTTTAACTATCTACCAGTAGTTCGGTTACACTGGCAACCTGCTACCTGTTGAGCTACCGGTAGTTCGGAACTACTGGACATTTACTTCCTGTTGACTACCGGTAGTTCGGATCCACTCACCACTGACTACCTGTTGACTACTAGTAGTTCGGATCTATTGGACATTTACTACCTGTTGACTACCGGTAGTTCGGATCCACTGGATGGCGTACTACCAGTAGGTCCTGTCCAAATTTGTCTATTTACTCTATTTTTCATTTCAAACCCATTCCAAACCCTTCCAAATCCAACCCAAGCTTATTCAACATGTTTTTGTACATCAAACCTAGTTGGTACAAGTTCTATTACAACGATTTCATATATTTGCAAGCTAAACTAAGTTTTAACTACTATTTCCTCGAATTTCCATATTAACATTTCCAAAAGAAATAATAACTTGCTACATAACCCTACATACATATATAAAGATAAAATGGTGGGGTTTACAATCCACCCCCCTTAAAGAAAGTTTCGTCCTCGAAACTTACCTCAAGTAGCGAATAAATAAGGGTACTTCTCTCGCATCTCCAGCTCGAGTTCCCAAGTAGCTTACTCCATTCCTTGATGTTGCCACAAGACCTTCACTAGTTAGATTACTTTGTTGCGTAGTACTTTCTCCTTGGTGTCGAGAATCTTCACCGGTTGTTCTTCATATGTTGCTCCATCTTGAACTTCAATATCCTCCAAATCCACGACATGCGTTGTATCCGATTGACACTTTCTTAACATTGAAACATGAAACACGTCGTGTACTCCAAATAATTGAGCCGGTAACTGAAGTTGATACGCCGTTTTGCCCACTACTTTGATCACTTCAAATGGTCCAATGTACCTTGGAGCTAATTTCCCTTTCTTGTCGATTCTAAACATTCCCTTCTTGGGTGACACCTTGAGGAACACATAGTCTCCCTCTTGGAATTCCAACGGTCTTCGTCTTTGATCCGCATAGCTCTTCTGTCTACTTTGCGTCATGCGTAGTCTCTCCCGGATGAGTTTGATCTTCTCCATAGTCTCCCGAACAATCTCTGGCCCAAACTAACTGCTCTCCCCAGCTTCCAACCAACAAGTTGGGGACCTACATTGTCTTCCATATAACGCCTCATATGGTGTCATCCCAATACTTGCCTGATAGTTGTTGTTGTACGCAAATTCCACCAACGACAAATGGTCACTTCAACTTCCCTTGAAGTCCAATACACAAGCACGAAGCATATCCTTCAAAATCTATGTCACCCTCTCAGATTGGCCATCCGTTTGGGGATGAAAAGCGGTGCTAAAATGTAATTCTGTCCGCATAGCTCGTTGTAGAATTTGCCAAAATTGTGCCACGAAACAAGAATCGTGATCCAAAACAATTGAGAGCGGAACTCCATGTAATCGCACAGTGTCATGGATATAGAGCTTGCTCAAGCTCTCAAAAGTGTCTGTAGTCTTTATACTCAAGAAATGTGCGGATTTGGTGCATCTTTCCACAATGACCCATACTGCATTATGCCCTCGCGACGTCCGTGGTAAACCCGACACGAAGTCCATGGTGATGTGATCCCACTTCCACTATACAATAGGTAAGAACTGTAGTAATTCTCCGAGATTTTAATGTTTAATCTTCACTTGTTGGCACATCGCACATC